GGGGTGATCACGTATGAATACTACCATACCAGTATATGTGTACTACACATATACAGAGGGTGATCACAGTGTGAATACTACCATACCAGTATATGTGTAGTACACATTATACAGAGGGTGATCACAGTATGAATACTACCATACCAGTATATGTGTAGCACACATTATACAGAGGGTGATCACAGTATGAATACTACCATACCAGTATATGTGTAGTACACATTATACAGAGGGTGATCACAGTATGAATACTACCATACCAGTATATGTGTAGTAACACATTATACAGAGGGTGATCACAGTATGAATCTACCATACCAGTATATGTGTAGTACACATTATACAGAGGGTGATCACAGTGTGAATACTACCATATACCAGTATATGTGTAGTACACATTATACAGAGGGTGATCACAGTGTGAATACTACCATACCAGTATATGTGTAGTACACATTATACAGAGGGTTGATCACAGTGTGAATACTACATACCAGTATATGTGTAGTACACATTATACAGAGGGTGATCACAGTGTGAATACTACCATACCAGTATATGTGTAGTACACATTATACAGAGGGTGATCACAGTATGAATACTACCATACCAGTATATGTGTAGCACACATTATACAGAGGGTGATCACAGTGTGAATACTACCATACCAGTATATGTGTAGTACACATTATACAGAGGGTGATCACACAGTAGTGAATACTACCATACCAGTATATGTGTAGTACACATTATACAGAGGGTGATCACAGTGATGAATACTACCATACCAGTATATGTGTAGTACACATTATACAGAGGGTGATCACAAGTGTGAATACTACCATACCAGTATATGTGTAGTACACATTATACAGAGGGTGATCACAGTATGAATACTACCATACCAGTATATGTGTAGCACACATTATACAGAGGGTGATCACAGTATGAATACTACCATACCAGTATATGTGTAGTACACATTATACAGAGGGTGATCACAGTATGAATACTACCATACCAGTATATGTGTAGTACACATTATACAGAGGGTGATCACAGTATGAATACTACCATACGAGTATATGTGTAGCACACATTATACAGAGGGTGATCACAGTATGAATACTACCATACCAGTATATGTGTAGCACACATTATACAGAGGGTGATCACAGTGTGAATACTACCATACCAGTATATGTGTAGCACACATTATACCAGAGGTGATCACAGTATGAATACTACCATACCAGTATATGTGTCGCACACATTATACAGAGGGTGATCACAGTGTGAATACTACCATACGAGTATATGTGTAGTACACATTATACAGAGGGTGATCACAGTATGAATACTACCATACCAGTATATGTGTAGTACACATTATACAGAGGGTGATCACAGTGTGAATACTACCATACCAGTATATGTGTAGTACACATTATAGAGAGGGTGATCACAGTGTGAATACTACCATACCAGTATATGTGTAGTACACATTATACAGAGGGTGATCACAGTGTGAATACTACCATACCAGTATATGTGTAGTACACATTATACAGAGGGTGATCACAGTGTGAATACTACCATACCAGTATATGTGTAGTACACATTATACAGAGGGTGATCACAGTGTGAATACTACCATACCAGTATATGTGTAGCACACATTATACAGAGGGTGATCACAGTATGAATACTACCATACCAGTATATGTGTAGTACACATTATACAGAGGGTGATCACAGTGTGAATACTACCATACCAGTATATGTGTAGTACACATTATACAGAGGGTGATCACAGTGTGAATACTACCATACCAGTATATGTGTAGCACACATTATACAGAGGGTGATCACAGTGTGAATACTACATACCAGTATATGTGTAGTACACATTATACAGAGGGGTGATCACAGTGTGAATACTACCATACCAGTATATGGTAGTACACATATACAGAGGGTGATCACAGAAGTTGAATACTACCATACCAGTATATGTGTAGCACACATTATTACAGAGGGGGTGATTGCTATCAGTATGAATTACTACCCATACCAGTACTATTGCTCGTAGTACAACACTTATACAGAGGGTGAATCACAGTTGTGAATTACTAACCACTACCAAGATATTGTGTAGTACACATTATACAGAGGGTGATCACCCAGTGTGAATACTTACCCATACCAGTTATATGTGTAAGGCACACATTATTCACAGAGGGTGATCACAGGTGTGAATACTACCCATTACCAGTATATGTGTAAGTACCACAACCCCTATACCAGAGGGTGATCACAGTATGAATACTACCATACCAGTATATGTGTAGCACACATTATACAGAGGGTGATCACAGTGTGAATACTACCATACCAGTATATGTGTAGTACACATTATACAGAGGGTGATCACAGTATGAATACTACCATACCAGTATATGTGTAGCACACATTATACAGAGGGTGATCACAGTGTGAATACTACCATACCAGTATATGTGTAGTACACATTATACAGAGGGTGATCACAGTGTGAATACTACCATACCAGTATATGTGTAGTACACATTATACAGAGGGTGATCACAGTGTGAATACTACCATACCAGTATATGTGTAGTACACATTATACAGAGGGTGATCACAGTGTGAATACTACCATACCAGTATATGTGTAGTACACATTATACAGAGGGTGATCACAGTGTGAATACTACCATACCAGTATATGTGTAGTACACATTATACAGAGGGTGATCACAGTGTGAATACTACCATACCAGTATATGTGTAGTACACATTATACAGAGGGTGATCACAGTGTGAATACTACCATACCAGTATATGTGTAGTACACATTATACAGAGGGTGATCACAGTGTGAATACTACCATACCAGTATATGTGTAGTACACATTATACAGAGGGTGATCACAGTATGAATCAGAGGTTGCGCTAGACTTTTTCGCTGCCCGTCGGACGGACGGACAGGATCGTAAAACTTCCGTCAAAATCCAGAATTACCCATCGGCCTTTACACAACTCTGACGAGGGGGGGGGGGGGGAGCATGCTCGTGAACTGTCAACTAGGGTTGCCAGAAACTGACCATTATCAAAATCGATTATTCGGCAGCCCTGGCGAATAATAATCGATTATTCGACCGATTATTATTAATACTATTACTATTATTAGCATTAGTCTATATTTTGGTTAAAACTAAGCCAGAAAAAAATAAAATACATAAATAATAATAAAAAAATATATAAATAAAATCGATTTTTAAAAGTAATATTCGATTATGGAGACTGTAACGAATAATCGAATAATCACTGGCATCCCTACTGTCAACGGGGGGGACAACAGTTCACATGCGCCGTGTTATGCATGGCTGCTGCACCTCGCGGGAGTGTGCACAGCGTAAAGCCAAAACTCACAGACATTTCAATGATCTGTACGGCACAGTTAGGTTTGGAAACGGTATCATTTCCTTTTTGGAGGGCATGCATAACACGGCATAACACCGGAGCCTCGCTGCGGGGAAACTTTGGCGCTGTTCCGAGTTTGTTCTAATCTGTCGGACTGCTTTCAGATTTCTCCGTCATTGTTAAAAAAAATCCGTCATAGACGGAAAATATTCGGTTAACGCAACCTCTGGTATGAATACTACCATACGAGTATATGTGTAGCACATAAAATACATATTATATATCTGAATGTATAGTGGAAGAGATGTGACCTGTAAACATTTTGTGCACAAACTAGCAGAATATTGTAATGACCGTGCGAGGTGAGTTAAAGAAATGTTGGTGACTTTTTCCTTTCTGGTTTTCTCAGTTCCAGAAGAGGTGAGGGCAAAGCCTGGAGAAGACGTCCTCCTTCAGTGCAACGGTCCCACAGGTGCTGCCATCACAAAGATAAAGTGGGAAAAACCTGACCTGGAGGATCGTTCTGTCTTCTTCTTCAGAGATAACACGCCGTATAAAATCTACCAGGATCCACGTTATCATGGTCGTGTTGAGCTGAAAGATCCAGCGATGAAGAACGGAGACGCTTCTGTTGTCCTGAAGAACGTCAAAGTCAACGACACAGGAGTGTACCAGTGTTGGGTTACAACTCCCAACATGCCTGGTGAAATGTTGCACTCTGTCCAGCTGGTCGTCTCTGAAGGTGAGTCTGTGTTTCTCCTGAAGAGTTCCTCCATTGGTTTAAAGATGATGTTGATGCTCTGTGATCGGTAGATAATGTCTGACATGAGACTGGAGAGGAAGCAGATTGTGTTCTTCATCTCCTTCATGATCAGCTGTTCTCCAACATGAGGGGAGGTCCAGTCGTTTCCTCACTGCTCTCTCTTTCTGTCCTCAGGTACCACGAAGGGACACTTGGAACAATTGAAGGAACAATCGAAGAAACTGCACACAATAGAAGTTTTGTTGGGAGTTGGTTTGGGACTGGGTTGTCTTCTTGTTGTTGGTGTTGCTTGTTTTGCTCTTAGACGTTTTGTTTGTCCAAAACCTAAAAGTGGTCCTGTGTAGAGTTCAAAGTTCAGAGTTCAGAGTTCAGAGTTCAGATGAGTGTGTGGCTGAAGAAGTGTGTGAAGCACTCATCAACCAGGCTCCTCTTTACACCCGACTGTCCTCCATCAGCTGCTTCTGAACTAATAACAACTCCAAAGAGACCGTTCTGAGTATTCAGGGTTTATATATTGGACTCAGGAAAAAGCACTGAAAATACATGTTACCATAGTAACCGTACTTAAAACACATTTTGTTTATTTAAAAGTACTGCTACTATGAATGCTTTTTATTTAAGTTGAAGTACTATTACTTATTTGAAGTACACTATACTACTTAAATCCATGTCACCTAGGTAAATGTCCCCCCCCCCCCATTGAGCCTCAGTCGGCGGTGGAGAGCTCTGCGCTTCGTAACTCATTTCACGTGTGCTTTGTTTTATTGCAGAAACGTCGTCTGCTTCAGGTATTTGTATTTGCAGATAATTATCTCAGTGTATTCTTAATACTTCCTTTCTGGATCTGTGGATGATCGTCCTGAATAAGACTTTAAAAGGTTTATTTGTTTTCTAAGTAGATTTACATGAAATGTGAAAACAGCTTTGATTGTTAAACTTTAAATGAAGAACTTCTTTCAGACTAAAGAAGAGATCTAAACTAAAAGTAGCCGATTCAATGATGAAGGATTTCAATTGAATGAATAACAAACTGCACTTCCCTTTGAGAACATACCGAACACGAATGTGCCTGAATCCGTCAATGTCAAGCTTGCGTTGCTCTGTGTTCTGTATTTGTAAAAAAAGTACATGTTGTTACATCTGGACTCTGAAGTTCTTATTTTATAATTAGTTCTTGTTTTTATTTTATATTGTGCACGTGTGTTCTTTGTGCTTAGCATTAGCTGCTAATGCTAACAGACCAAAGCCTCAGAGTTACGGAATATAATAAAGCTTGTGACGTAGAAAAGGATTTAAAGACATTTTATTCAAGCCAAAGTACTGTTACGTTAAAAAAAGCATTTTAATCAAAGTTCTGTTGCTTTAATTTAACATGTTATAAAAGTACAGAGGGGGAAATGACAGATTGTTAAAGAAAGTTATACAATTCAAAATGTACTTCATCTCAGTAACACAGAATGATTTGTCAAGCTATAATAAAGAATCTTTAAAACCAATCGGATGGTGAGCGAGTTTTTTTATCTTGAAATGTGTAATTATAACATCGCCATGGCAACGAGGACACGTGGAGTTCCTCAGGGAAGCGTTCTGGGTCTTTTGCCGTCTCTGTTTCAGAACTGATGCTCTGTGGTCACAGCAGACATGACATCATCATAGTCATCATCCAATAGCTGCTCAGCGTGGGTGGGCAGGGTCATCACCATGGAGACAGACAGGTCATTTACTGGTGTCAGAAAGAAAATGTATTAAGTAGACTTCTGGCTGATTTGAAATCCCTTTTGACGAACTGAGAGAAGTTACCTGGTTCCTCTGCAGTCAGCATGTCGTTGTGTCCCTGGGCAAAACACTTCACCCCAAAGTGCTCCTGTGAGGATTGTCCTCAGTGTTGAAAGTATGTAACTTGCTTTGGATAAAAGTGTCTAAAAGGTGACATGTGATGCTGAACTTTGCTGAAAATGCAGAAAGGTAAATTGACTTGAATGAAAATGGCTAAAGCCCAAATGCACATGTTTGTCCCCAAGATCAGGGCGAGTACTGACTCCAGCCCCGACTCGATGCTTTCTGCCCCTAAAAGAAAGGTCCATCTGGCGTCTGAGGAGCCCCCCTGTGGTGCCGGACCACCAGACGCTGAGACTGGACCCTGAGAAGAGACGGACACAAGGGGAGAGTTAGAAGTAAGCAGAGTAACTTACTGCTGACAAGAGTAAGATTTCAGGCAAAGCTATTCCTCATCATCCTGATATGCTTCTCATGTTGGTGTTATTTAAGGAAACAGGAAATGCAGCAACCACACATTGTGTTATTATTTTCTTTCAGGCAGGACACCGATATGACGTCCTTACATCAACCAGACTTAGGTCCTCTGCTGTTCCTCACATCTCTCTTTATATAAACCGATGTGTTTTACGGAGAGACGCTGAATGAAATACCAAAGCAGGTCTCCTTTAAACGTTGCTGTAAGTTTGATTTGTGTTCAAGGTCTGGATAAAAGGCCCCGGGTTGAAGCGTCCCTTCTTCTCTGTGTCACTAATGCTGTTTGTGGACACACTCACTATAGTTAGATTCATCTTTGCAGTCTTTTAAAAAGTTAAACATTCACATCTGAATCATCACATTCAGTCTGACCCTAACCCCCCCCCCCCCCCCCCCCCCTGTACCTGAACGTGTTATTCAGATAAAGCAAACTGTTTCTTGTAAATCATGTGACCATGGATCCTCCCCTCCTCCTCCCCCTTCCTCCTCCTCCCCCCCTTCCTCTTCCTCCTCCCTCTGTGTATGAAACCTTTGAGCGAACACAGACCGGTTCAAACTGGATTACACTCTGTTCAGATCACTTCTTGTTTAGCATCAGCTGCTCGCATGGCTGCGCAACGTGTGGGCTGTTCATGTTCCTGTTGATCATTGGCTCTGCAGGAGGTGAGGGGGTCGACCAGGTGTCTCATACTCAAACAAGTATGAGAGCACTCTCATAATAACGTAACACTATCAGAGACTGGATATATCCTCCCTCTCCCCTCTCTGCCGCAACTACACACACACACACACACATACACACACCTACACACTGTACCACACACACCGTTATATTCATACTGTTTGTGTCACATTAGCATAGCCCTCACAGTCATGATTTATGACCCTTACTACTCATGTTATGACCCCCAATAACCCTTTGATGTGAGGTGTGATGACAGGTGTCTGATCTTTATGACCCCCGATAACCCTTTGATGTGAGGTGTGATGACAGGTGTCTGATCTTTATGACCCCCAATAACCCTTTGATGTGAGGTGTGATGACAGGTGTCTGATCTTTATGACCCCCGATAACCCTTTGATGTGAGGTGTGATGACAGGTGTCTGATCTTTATGACCCCCGATAACCCTTTGATGTGAGGTGTGATGACAGGTGTCTGATCTTTATGACCCCCGATAACCCTTTGATGTGAGGTGTGATGACAGGTGTCTGATCTTTATGACCCCCGATAACCCTTTGATGTGAGGTGTGATGACAGGTGTCTGATCTTTATGACCCCCCATAACCCTTTGATGTAAGGTGTGATGACAGGTGTCTAATCTTTATAACCCCCAATAACCCTTTGATGTGAGGTGTGATGACAGATGTCTGATCTTTATGACCCCCAATAACCCTTTGATGTGAGGTGTGATGACAGATGTCTGATCTTTATGACCCCCAATAACCCTTTGATGTGAGGTGTGATGACAGGTGTCTACTCTTTATGACCCCCGATAACCCTTTGATGTGAGGTGTGATGACAGGTGTCTGATCTTTATGATCCCCAATAACCCTTTGATGTGAGGTGTGATGACAGGTGTCTGATCTTTATGACCCCCGATAACCCTTTGATGTGAGGTGTGATGACAGGTGTCTGATCTTTATGACCCCCAATAACCCTTTGATGTAAGGTGTGATGACAGGTGTCTAATCTTTATAACCCCCAATAACCCTTTGATGTGAGGTGTGATGACAGGTGTCTACTCTTTATGACCCCCGATAACCCTTTGATGTGAGGTGTGATGACAGGTGTCTACTCTTTATGACCCCCTAATAACCCTTTGATGTGAGGTGTGATGACAGGTGTCTACTCTTTATGACCCCCTAATAACCCTTTGATGTGAGGTGTGATGACAGATGTCTATATGGGAGCCTGCCGGCAGACCTCCACTCTCAGGACACCTCCACTGTCAGTACAGGAAGTGACGATTCTGACGAACACGTTTGATGGAATTTTTCAAATCACAATGGAGACTCATCATGGAGGTGATGAGTCCGCCCACCGTGCAATTTGGGTCGACCTTGGTCAAGCCCTTTTGACCACCCCAGCCTGGTTCTCGTAAAAGTTTTTCGCTCAAATGACACCATGGAGGAATGTAACGAGAGTTGACAGGGGACTCTGCCTTTTCACTTTCCCCGGTTATATATATATATTTTTTTTAGTGGCTATTTCACCCGGTTTCTACCGGGGACATTGCCCGGTCTCGGGTGTCCCCCCACGGCCTGTGTCCAGCCCTCCCCACCACTCATCCATATATTAACGGATTTTGAACATTTTTGTTGCATTTTTCTCCTCTCCTCTCGCTGATCGAATGGCAAACGCGACCCACTGTCGGAGGGCCTCCGCGCCGGCCCAGCCTTATGCCGGTGCTCTGGCGGTCGGTTCCTCCGAACTGCGGGTTCGACTCTGATAGCCGGGAGGGTGTGCTGCGTTGGGGTGGGGGACTTCCCCCCACTCTGCGTGTCTCTTCCTTCCCGGCCGGCCGATAAAATGATTAGCCTCTTATTTATGTCATAAGCCTGAAAATGTTATGTATAATTATGTTACTTACAGCTCTATAGTCTAATTACTGTTTGCTATTACAATAGACTGTTTCACTTCACTCCTACATACTGTATTTCTCCATTTACTGCACTATTGGATTAAGAAACTGCATATTAAACAATTTGCTAGAAATGATATCCATTTTAGATTCCATTGTGTATTAAAATTTCAATTATTTTCATATTTGGTAGTTATTTTTTCTGCTAGATCCCCTTGATGGACTCCTAAATTGCCCTTGTGGTGTGATGCGGGAGACAATAAAAGGCTTATCTTAAAGTAAACCAACATTCCTCTGTGGTGTTCATAATCAAGATGAATTATCAAATGCTTCATTGAAAAACAAAACAAAACACACACAAACTGAAGTGTTCCAACTTCCTGTTGCCCTTTATTCAAACAACAGAAATGCATTCGCAGAATGCCAGATACCCTCTTCCATATGTTCAAACCTGAACTTGAATGGCTCCAAGATTGCCTCCATCTCATCCTCGTCACATTCGTCAGGCTTTTCCTCCCAAAGCTTGAGAGCCTCTGTTAGTTGTGCTTCCCCCACTGCATCGGGCAAATGCACCCTGGTGCACAAATGTGTGTGTGCCACCACCCATTCCGCTGCCTTCTTGCAGTCCTGCACGATCTTAGATGTTGGCTACGGAAAAGAGAGAGAAAATATATCATACCCACTGATACATATTAAGCATTAAGTAGCTTTTTGGCAGACTAACCCAAGGAAAGGGCGTCCTCCTGGATATGATGCATAGAACTAGTAAACAAGCCTACCGCTTCCATTGTTTTCTCCACATCTTTCCCAACTGAGGCATCAGCTGGATGAGGCTGAAGTTGCTCCTCTTTCTAAAAAACAACACAACTTTCAATGTTCAAAATACAACCATGAACCACCATACTTTTAGTAAAGTATGCTATTTTCAACATATTCTTTAGTTTTAGGACTGTCCTTGCAATACAAATCTGACCTCAGTGATGTCATCCACCTTCCTCTTCCTCACTCTGAACACTGGAGGCACCTCACTCTGAACACTGGAGGCACCTCACTCTGAACACTGGAGGCACCTCACTCTGAACACTGGAGGCACCTCACTCTGAACTCTGGAGGCACCTCACTCTGAACACTGGAGGCACCTCACTCTGAACACTGGAGGCACCTCACTCTGAACACTGGAGGCACCTCACTCTGAACACTGGAGGCACCTCACTCTGAACACTGGAGGCACCTCACTCTGAACTCTGGAGGCACCTCACTCTGAACACTGGAGGCACCTCACTCTGAACTCTGGAGGCACCTCACTCTGAACACTGGAGGCACCTCACTCTGAACACTGGAGGCACCTCACTCTGAACACTGGAGGCACCTCACTCTGAACACTGGAGGCACCTCACTCTGAACACTGGAGGCACCTCACTCTGAACACTGGAGGCACCTCACTCTGAACACTGGAGGCACCTCACTCTGAACACTGGAGGCACCTCACTCTGAACACTGGAGGCACCTCACTCTGAACACTGGAGGAATCCCCCTCTGAACACTGGAGGCACCTCACTCTGAACACTGGAGGCACCTCACTCTGAACACTGGAGGCACCTCACTCTGAACACTGGAGGAATCCCCCTCTGAACACTGGAGGCACCTCACTCTGAACACTGGAGGCACCTCACTCTGAACACTGGAGGCACCTCACTCTGAACACTGGAGGCACCTCACTCCGAACACTGGAGGCACCTCACTCCGAACTCTGGAGGCACCCTCACTCCGAACACCTCACTCTGAACACTGGAGGCACCTCACTCTGAACTCTGGATGCACCTCACTCTGAACTCTGGAGGCACCTCACTCCGAACTCTGGAGGCACCTCACTCTGAACTCTGGAGGCACCTCACTCCGAACACCTCACTCTGAACTCTGGAGGCACCTCACTCTGAACACTGGAGGCACCTCACTCTGAACTCTGGAGGCACCTCACTCTGAACTCTGGAGGACCCTCACTCTGAACTCTGGAGGACCCTCACTCTGAACACTGGAGGCACCTCACTCTGAACTCTGGAGGCACCTCACTCTGAACTCTGGAGGCACCTCACTCTGAACTCTGGAGGCACCTCACTCTGAACTCTGGAGGCACCTCACTCCGAACACTGAAGGCACCTCACTCTGAACTCTGGAGGCACCTCACTCTGAACACTGGAGGCACCTCACTCTGAACACTGGAGGCACCTCACTCTGAACTCTGGAGGCACCTCACTGGAGGCACCTCACTCTGAACTCTGGAGGCACCTCACTCTGAACACTGGAGGCACCTCACTCCGAACTCTGGAGGCACCTCACTCCGAACACCTCACTCTGAACACTGGAGGCACCTCACTCCGAACTCTGGAGGCACCTCACTCTGAACTCTGGAGGCACCTCACTCTGAACTCTGGAGGCACCTCACTCTGAACTCTGGAGGCACCTCACTCTGAACTCTGGAGGCACCTCACTCTGAACTCTGGAGGCACCTCACTCCGAACACTGAAGGCA